AAAAAAAAAAAAAAAAAAAAAAAGAGAGTTTAGGGTCTGAGTCACACACACAGACCACCCTCAGAATATAGTAAAATATTCATGTTATATTACACCCCATACCACACAATCAAATTTTCTTTAGATTATTTCCAATATCTAATATGAATACTGCATAAACACTAGTCTTACTGTCTTGAGTACAGGACAAATAGGAGGATGCGATACATTTTTCATTGTAGAGATACTTTTCCAAGTAGTTTGTTTCCAAGGTTTCGATCCATAAATATAAATTTCATAGATAGAAAGGTCCTGTATTGAGTTTCTTACGACATTTGCACATCTATTCATTTTGTATGGGTGTTCCCCACCTATTTTGTGGAGGTCATAGGACAATTTGTGAGGGCCAGTTCTCTGGGGACAGGGAATTGAACTCAGGTAGGTGAGCAAGCCCTTTATCTGCTAAGCCATTTTGCTGTCCCTCATTGTTTGTTCATTTATATCTGTGTGGCAGTTGGGGCAGGTACTGGGAGGGAATAAGTCAGGCACACCTTCCCAACTGAGCCATCTTGGTGGCCCATATACTGAGTTTCTTATTCTCATGCTCCTTGCACAAGACTTTTTTTTCTGATAACTTTTTTTTGTGAGTAGCAGTAGTAGTAATAGTAGTAGTATGTGTGTGTTTGTGTGTGTGTTTGATTCTTAACTATTGAGTTATCTCTCCAGTCCCATAAACCAAATACATGGAGAGATAGCTCAATAGTTAAGATCCCTAGCAGCTCTTCCAAAGGACAGGGGTTCAATTCTCAGTACCCACATGGCATCTTATTACTGTCTCTAACTGAAGTTCCAAGGAATTCAGCACCCTCTTCTGTACAAAACATTCATGTGGTGTAGAGACATATAAGCAGCCAAAAGGCCAATATGATGCATCTGGCATCATAATAAAGACACCATTCGAATCTAATTTCAAGGTGCTTTCATCCTGTCTCCTAAACGTCTGATGACTTTCAGCTCTGCTCCATTTTAGGCCCTTGATCTATGTAGTATTGATTTTTTATATGTTGTTAAGTGAAGGCTTAATTTCATTCTTTTACCTTGATATCCCATTTTCTAAACATACCTTATTTAACTGATTATTCTTCCAACATTGTGCAGTCTTAGCAGCCTGATCAAAATTCATATGGTCACAAGGGGCAGATGGACAGCAAGAATGCCTTCCAAGTTCTGTAACTCAATAGGACAACTCTGTTTCACACCAATTAATTCAAAAGAGCCAGCAGAAATGAATGTTTTTAACAAACAGAAAAAGTGACAGATGAAATGCTGGATATGCCAACTGTGCATATCTGACATACATTATAATACATATGCAAACCTGTGCTCCATAAATACACATATTTATCATGTTAACTAATCTTTAATTTAATCATGGCTAGTGTTAATGAGCAATTCCAGGCTTTCCAATTCTAGTACACTGATCTGTATGTCTGCCTTTATGTCAGCAGTGGACTATATTAGCTTTGTACTAAAATTATGAAATCATGTACGATATCCTGCAATTTTATTGTTTTTTTTTTTCAAGATAATTTTATGGCCAGGTATGGTGGTGCTTGCCTCTAACCCCAGCTCTTGAGAGCAGAGACAAGTGGATCTCTGGGAGTTTGAGGCCAGCTTGATCTATATAGTGAGTTTCAGGACAGCTAGAATGGACTTTGCTATTTCTGTGCAAAATGCCACTGGGGTTTTGATCTGATGTGCATAGAACTGATAGACTGCATTCAGGGATATTGTCATCTATTAAAAAAAGTCTTTTACCAAGCTGACTTATTCTTGTAATTCCAGCCACTCAAGAAGTTGAGGCAAGAGTATCAAGTTCTAAAAGTGCCTATCACAACCAATTCAAGGCCAGCCTGGTTAATTTAGTGACATCTGTTTCTAAGTAAAAATTAGAAGGCAGAGCTTAGAGTATAGCTCAGTGGTAGTGCATTGCTTACCATGCACAAAACCCTGGGTTCAATCCCAGTACTGCAGAACAACAGTGATAATGAGATTAAGTCTTCCAACCCATCAACCCCAATGGCTGTCATTTCTTGTCTTCTTTCATCATCTCTTATTTGGTAGTTTTCTGAGTGCAAGTCCTTTATCTCCATGGTGGAGTTAATTCTAAGTATTTTATTCTTTTTGGTGCTTTCATAAATAAATACTTTCTTCATTTCCTTTCCAATTGTTCACTGTTAAGGCTGGGACTATTGCTCAGGGGCTGAACACTTGCCGGGCATGCATGAGGCCCTAGGTTCAAGCTCCACTACTGCTGGGAAAAACAAAAATCCAATTGTTCATGGTCAATATTAGTATACAGTAATACATCTCACTTGGGCATGTTCATTTCATTAGCCAACAAATTTACTAGTTTTGCTCATTTAGTTCTGAGGACTTTCTGTAGAATGTTAAGGATTTTCTGTGAACAAGTTCCTGTCATCTACAGACATCTTTAGCACCTCATAATTGGGCACTCTCCATTGAGAGTCAATAGCCTGGGCCTTCTGTCACTTAGATCACAGCCACAAGAGACCACTTATTCATGGCTGCCATGACTGAGACCCTGAGGATAAGATAGAAATATTGGATATTCACCACTCAAAATTGCAATAGCCCTGTCTCACATTTTCACAGCTTCACATGATTGCCATGATGAAATTGATGGAATTCAAGTATTGGAAGGAAAGGTAGAACTAACCTAGAAACACAGCAAGGTGAAAAGAACAGCTGCTAAAATCCTCACACTTCATCTCACTCAATCAGTCTTCCCCCAACAAGGTGGGAAGGTGTTTATCAGCTGTTAGAGTTTCCTGGTAGAAATTTCCCAGTCACTTATGCATACTATCGTATATTCTGCAAATAGGGAAAGTTTGACTTCTTCCTTTCCAATTTGTATCCCCCTGATATTATATTGTTGTCTTATTGCTCTACTTAGAACTTCGAGTACTATATTGAATAAACATGGGGAGAGGGGACAGCCTTGTCTTCTTCCTGATTGTAGTGGAATCGCTTTGTGTTTCTCTCCATTTAATTTGATGTTGGCTGTCAGATTGCTGTAAATTGCCTATATTACATTTAGGAATCTTCCATGTATTCCAGATCACCCACTCCACCACCTTTGTCATGAAGGGGTGTTGGATTTTGTCAAAGGCTTTTTCAGCATCTAATGAGATGATCATGTGGATTTTTTCTTTCAGTTTGAAATATGGTGGATTACATTGACAGATTTTTGTATTTTGAACCATCCTTGCATCTCTGTATGAAGCCTACTTGATCATGGTGGATATACATATACATATATATATACATATACATATATATACATACACACATATATATATATATAACTAGATTTCATCCTCCAGGATGTGTCCATGATGGGCTTAGACAAGCAAGGTATTAGTAGAGGGATATACTTGTGAAGGTGAGCCTGAGATAGCCCTCAGGAAATATATGTATTTACTGTGTTCTTGAATTCAGTTTGCCTGTTTTTTATTGAGTATTTTTGCATCAATATTCGTGAGGGAGATTGGTCTGCAATTCTCCTTCTTTGTTGCATCTTTGTGTGGTTTGGGTGTCAGGGTGACTGTAGCCTCATAAAAACTGTTTAGCAATGTTCCTTCTGTGCCCCGGCCAGCAGGGTCTTCAACGGAGACCTAAGGGAGGTCCGGCGAATGAAAGGGACAAGAGACACAAAGAATGAGAGCAAGGCAGGACGTCTGATCAAGCTCCATAATTTTATTTTACTCTCAAGGCATATATAGGTAGGCACAGGTGGTTGAGAGCAGGAAGGGACTTAATTATGGGGGTTGCAAGCAGGAAGGGACTTAATTATGGGACGTTCGGCCAGCAGGAAATGTTGCTCTGAAGGTTATCTATCTACCCTTGTCTAACTGCCTAATTGCTTAACTGCAGCTCATTCACCTGATATCTGAGAAGAGGTTCTGGTATCTGTGGGAAGAAGTCCAGGTGCTATGGAGACTCAAGCAAGGCCTAGATCTAAGAAAAGAGGAGAGAAACCCAAATATGGCAGCATGTGTGTCAAGGGTCGCTTAGGCTTATGGCTCCCGTCACTTCTGTTTCTATTGTGTGGAACAATTTGAAGAATATTAGTATTAGCTCTGCTTTGAAATTCTGGTAGAATTCTGTACTGAAATCATCTGGTCCTGGGCTTTTTCTGGTTGGGTGATTTAATGACTGTTTCTATTTCATTAAGTGCTATAGGTCTATTTAAATTGTTTATCTGGTCTTGATGTAATTTTGGTATATGTTACCTATCCAGAAAATTGTCCATTTCTTTTAGATATTCCAATTTTGTGGAGTAGGCTTTTTGAGGAATGACCTAATGATTCTCTAGATTTTCTCATTGTTTGTTGTCATGTATCCCTTTTCATTTCTGATTTTGTTTATTTGGATGCTCTCCTTGTGCCTTTTGGTTAGTTTGGGCAAGAGATTGCCTATCTTGTTGATTTTCTCAAAGAACCAACACTTTGTTTCATTCATTCTTTGTATTGTTCTATATGTTTCCATGTTATTCATTTCAGCACTAAATTTGATTATTTGCTAGCATCTATTCCTCCTGGGTAAGTTTGCTACTTTGTGTTCCAGAGCTTTCAGGTGTGCTGTTAAGTCTCTAGTGTAAGAGTTCTCAAACTTCTTTATGTGGGCATGAATGCTTTGAATTTTCCTCTTAGCACTGTTTCATTGTGTCCCATAGATTTAGGTATGTTGTGCATGCATTTTCATTGAATTCTAGGAAGTCTTTAATTCTTTATTTCCTCCTTGACCAATTGGTGATTCAGTAGAGCATTATTCAGTTTCCATGAGATTGTAGACTCTAATCTTTGTTGTTGAAATATAACTTTAAGCCACGGTGGTCCAAAAAAATAGAGGAGGTTATTTTAAAATATTAAGGACCCACCTTAATAATATTCTTTTCGGGGGCTGAGAAGAGAAGCCTGTGAACATGGACAATTATTTTTTGAAAATGAATCTGAGGAAACCAAGCTCTTTTCTTTGTTAACTTTATTTCTCTGGGATAAAATCCTGTCTACAGAGCTACAGTGCTGTTCTCCTGCCTCACTCATTTCTTGTCTGATCTCTCTCTATATTTATCTATTGTCCCCTCTAAGTTCTATCTTAATTCTGTCATCTTAATTCTACCTCGACAGGACCTTCTCATCTTGGCCTTACTCATCTAGTATTTCCCTATCTGGCTCTTCCTCAGGCTGTCAGGTTTCTCAGGGAAGCTCAATGGGAAGACTCATCATAACCTATCTGTAGGACAGCCCTGAACAGCAAAGGCTGGGAGGGCTCTGGTCTACACAAAACAGCAGAGGTCAGTGTACCTGGAGGGATCTGAACCTTGTGTCTCAAGGCAGCAATGGGTCAGTGAGGTCCAGGAGATAAAATGATGTCTGTGGTCATATTGTGTTCCCCAAAATATTGTGCACCCTAATAAACTTATCTGGGTTGGAGAACCGAACAGCCACTAGATACAGAGGCTAGAAAATGGTGGCACACACACGCCTTTAATCCTAGCATTCCAGAGGCAAAAATACCTCTGGATCAATGTGAGTTCAAGGCCACATTGGAAAAAGCCAGGCATGGTGACACAGGCCTTTAATCCCAGAAAGTGAGCCTTTAATCCCAGGGAGTGAGGGCAGAAAGCAGAAAGGTATATAAGGCTTGAAGACCAGAAACTAGAAGCTTTTGGCCTGGTTAAGCTTTCAGGCTGTTGAGAAGCAGTTCAGCTGAGATTCATTCAGATGAGGACTCAGAGGATTCTAGTCTGAAGAAACAGGATCAGCTGAGGAATTGGCAAGGTGAGGTGGCTGTAGCATGTTCTGCTTCCCTGATCGTTCAGCATTCACTCCAATACCTGGCTCCGAATTTGTTTTTATTAATCAGAACATTTAAGATTCCTGCTACAAAGGTCTCTGATTTTAAGTCTTGAGTGTGACCATCACCAAACACTGCAGCTCAGTTCACTCATGAGAAAGTCCTGGCTATTCCAATACACAGCACAGGAGGCCCCATTATCTCTGAGCACTCAGCCACTCCATCTGCCTTTAGTTTGCTTCCTGCCTGATTATTTAAGGATCTGGGTTAGCTGGGAGTTAAGAGACTATCTCAAGTTGTAAGAAGCCTTTGCAAGAATCAGAAGTACCACACATGACAATCATCTCTCTGTGGTCAACACAGCACTGCTACCCAAGCCCAACATCACAACCAACAATTCCAATCCCATGGAGGGTGAGGACTCAGTAGCATTAATGTGTGAGCCTGAGACTCAGAATACAGGCTACCTGTGGAGGATAAATGATCAAAGTCGCTCAAAAGAGGATAGGCTGAAGCTGTCTGAGGACAACTCTCCCTTTACTCAGTGTTGTGAAGACTGGCACAGGACCCTATGAATGTGAACCTAGAACTCAGTGAGTGCCTGCCTAAGTGACGATTCTCTCTGAACATTACCTGTGAGTATTTTCTGTTTCATCCTGGCCCCAACTGCCTAAAAACAGAGGGCTAGAGCTACCATCCTCAGTCCCAGTCCCCTTGGGTTCATGACACAGACCTATCATACAGATACCTAGGCTGCCAGGACATCCTGTCCCAGCCCAAGCATATGTGGACAGACCCAGCATTGAGCTTGAATGGGTTGCAGGGAATTCTGCCTAGAGAGACTCATGGTGATGGAGGTAGGGGATATGTAAGACTCAGTCTCAGTGCACACATGAATGTGCAGAGGGGATGTTTTTGTGTTGTGCTTGGCAAAGATCAGGGCTTGTGCATGCTGAATGAGTATCTTCCACTAATCTCCTCCCAAACACATGCTCAACTAAGGTTAAAGCACAGCTCAAAGAGATACTATGTCCTTCTACAGAACAGGATTTCCCCTTCCCTATGCTGACACCACATGTGACTTTATTCTGTTTGCTCCAGATGATCCAGATGTCCTGATCATACACCCCTCAAATATTCATTTACATTCAAGGACAAACCTCACATCTCCTGCCACACAGATGCTAACCCACCTGCACAATACTCTTGGTTTGTCAATGGAGAGCTCCAGTCATCCTCCCAAGAGCTCTTTATCCCCAATCTCAACACTAATAATAGTAGATCCTATTCCTACCTCATGTATAACATTTTTACTGGAGTCAATAGAACCACAGTGAAGCCAATTACAGTCCTTAGTAAGTGGACCTCTGAAATATCAAAACCAGGTTTGTAGTGGAGTCGTTTGGTTTTCTCGGAAGGTGCAGAAGCATTTAATTTCCAGCCCAGGACTATGGGAACAAGCAAAACTCAGTCTTCCCCCAAGCCTCCTGCTCCATCCCTATGTCTAATGGCCTCCTGGTTCTCTGGTTTCTGCCTGATAGGGATGGAGCTTGCAATGTGAGGAGGAGGAGGTTCTCCCAGTATTAAAAAGTCTTCAGTTTGGTCCATTCTAATCCCTGCTGATCAGTCAATGATCTGCCAGGTTTCGCTTGTGGACCAGAGCATCCTAGAAGCCCTGCCAGAGTTGAGCAAGGCCTTTTAGGCTTCTGCCAGCAGCACTTCTGAACATGTTCAGGAGAAAAAAAAAAAAAAAAAGTCTTCAGTTATGTGAGGGACTTTCCATGATTAGGAGATCTCCAGGTCAAGATTTCTTTCTGTGCCTAACACAAGCTTTCCTGTCCCCTCCATTTTCATTTTATGATCTCCATGACCTACAAGGAACACCCAGGGCTTTCAACTGTGCTCACTTTCTTATTCTCCAAATTGGAGGAGAATATTCCCCACACATGGGGACTAGACCTTTGCTCCCAGGTCTGCTCCTGTCTCAGCTCTGAGTCCATGGGATGGGAAGAGTGGGTGGAAAAGGTGTCTGGAGCCCTGTTCTGAGTCAGGGTGAACCATGTCACTGACATTTGATGATGCTCTTTTGCTTACTCTTCTCAAGATTCAAAAAACAAATGTCAGCTGAATGTGGTGGCCCACATCTTTGATGCCAGCACTTAGGAGGGAGAGGCAGTTAGATAGTGTGAGTTTGAGGCCAGCCTGGTCTACATAGCAAGTACCAAGTAAACTAGCACTGTACAGTGAGACCCTGTCTCAAAAATACCAGTACTGAGGATTAGAGTGTCAGTCTGTGGTTAGCACTGTGACTATTCACTTCTTCTCTGTATTATTTAATCCATATCCATGGGGCAGGAAATAAAACTTTTCTTCAAAGATAAATTCTTCAGTTAAGGATTTCTCCCTGTCCTGAGTTCTAGCCTTTAACCCCTTTAAGATTAGCTGGGCCATCTTAGCCCCATGACAAATTATTTAATAAAAAATAAACAGAAGGCTATTTCATAAAGGAGGGATCCGACAATTCACACTCACAGAAAGTGTGAGCAAGAATTCCCACAAAAAATCATTGAGAAATACATTCCCTCCACCATGAGATTTCAGGACAGGTGGGTTGAAGAGGCTCCCAGTGTGGAATCTACACAAATACCCTGAGTCAGGGTCACCGTGGGTCATCTTGGTAGGAGTAAGATTCAGCTCTTTCTTTACAGACCATATCTTGAACATGCAATTTTGCAGAAGGCCCCTTCACTGCAAGGGCTTGTGAACTGGCTGAACTCGCTGAGGGTGAAGGACTCTCAGCTGGTTCCCTCCATATTTATCCACAGATGCAGTGACTACACCCTCCATCCAAGTCACCAACAACACAGTCGAAGATTTTATCTCTGTGTTTCTGACCTGCTTGTCAAACGACACTGGGATCTCCATCCGTTGGTTCTTCAAAGGCCAGAGTGTGGAGTTCAAAGACAGGATGCATCTGTCCCAGAACAACAGCACCCTCCAAATATACTCTGTGAGGATTGAGGATTCTGGGGACTATCAGTGTGAAGTATCCAATCAAGTCAGTTCCAAGAGGAGTGACCCCATCCAGCTGGACATAATACGTGAGTGATTTCTGTTCCCTCCTTGCTCCATAGTGTTGGGGATGAGGCAGTTTCTTTATCAACAGAATGCAGAATTGGTCAAAATCACAGGGAGAAAAACATTGTTCAGGAAACAAATACAGCCAGCATGTTGATGGATGCATGTTAATCTCATGATACAACACCAAGCAAGGTGAGCACAGTGCTGCATGCCTTTAACCCCAGCACATCAGAGGCAGAGACAGTTGGATCTCTGAGTTCCCAACAACCCTGGTCTTTGTAGCCAGTTTGAGGTTAGCCAGAGCTACATAGTGAAATCCTGTCTCAAAAGAGAGAGAGCATGTAGCAGGAGGCATAGAAGTACAATGCCAGCTCAGATTACATGTGAGACCCTGTCAATAATAACAATAATAGATGTCAATAGAGCAAATAAAAATGCAAAGTGATTAAGAGTTTAGGGTCTGAGTCACACACACAGTCACCCCAAAGAAACTAGTAAAATATTCATGTTACTCTACACAACTTTGGACACATTCAGATCTTTTTTAGGTTATTTCCAATACCTAATATGAATACTGCAAAGAACCTAGTCTTATTGTGTTGCAGACAGGAGAAAGATAGGAGGAAACAATACATTTTTCACTGTAGAGATACTTTTTCAAGTAGTTTGTTTCCAAGGTTTCGATCCATAAATATAAAATCCATAGATAGAAAGGACCTGTAATGAGTTTCTTACTACATTTGCATATCTGTTCATTTTGTGTGCATGTCCCACACCCATGAGTGGAGGTCAGTGGACAATTTGTGGGAGCCAGTTCTCCAGGGACAGGGAATTGAACTCAGGTTGGTTCACCAGCCCTTTATCTGCTAAGCCAATTCCCAGGCCCACATTTATTTGTGCATTTATCTCTGTGTGGCAGTTAGGGGCAGGTACTGGGAGAGAATACAGCAGGCACTCTTCACAACTGAGCCATCTTGGTGGCCCATATACTGAGTTTCATTTTTTTTTAATATAACTCTGTGTCTGTTTTTAATGCAAAAAGCCCATTTGAAACATTGCTTTCTGTGCATATTTCAGAACCAACAAAGGTATGCAGACTGTACCTCAAAAGTAGTTAGTGTTTTATTTTAATATTGTGTTAACACTGTTTAAAGTTAGACAATTAGGCTATTTTTTCAATTGTTCTTTTCCAAGGTAATTAACAAGGTAAAGCAACTTAGAACAACATATTGTTCCTCTTTTTATAAAATTTTTTTCAAAAGGATCTTGAGAGAAAAATCATAATGAATTTGGAAGGTAATATAAAGTATCTCTGAACAATTTTAATTTTTTTCAGAGTACAATAAAAACATGCCAATGTATCTTAGCAAGGCTACTTTAAGCTCAACTCTTAATGTTTCAGTGTGCTTTTATGTTTCTCATTAGACTCAAATTTGGACAATTTTAAGAGATGAGCTCACTGTGATTGCGTGGTTAATTCAAGTGTGGTTAGTTACCAAACTTGCTATTCCTGAGGTATAATGGCCCTAACATGCTAAGCACAGGATCATCAATGATACTGAATTGAGGAAAAACAATGAAATGACAGGCTAAGAGAAAAAAGGTAAAAACAAAAACCTGAAAAAATTCCAGCCAAGTGAAGGTCATGATTGTAAAAAGGCATACCATAAGAAAGATAAAAAGCCACAAACGGATCCTCTGAAGATATGTAGAGTATTTGATCAAATTATTTGTGAGACTTTTGAGGTACAGCTTTAGTGTTATAATAACTTTTTATAAAATATAGACTGTTTTATCAAAAATATTTATACATTCTGTTATAATATATTGCTTTTGACCTCAATAACTGCCAATATAAAATCTGGATCCAGTGGCCTAAAATGTAAAAATGCACTTAATATAAATGCTGGAGTTTGAGGTGTCTGCTTGACCACTGTACAAAAGTGATGAAGTGGTAAAATTAAATAATATGCCTACAACACAGAATACATTACAACTTGTACATATACATGTTCACAGCATGTATACCATGATAATATCTATGGTTTAACAAAGATAGAGTTCCCTTCTACAGCAGACACAAGAACAAGATGACTAGGTTGATAACAGTGTAGAATGCATTATTGATAAAGGGTTAATCAGGCTCACTGACTTTGGAAGACCCAACTGAACATCCTCCAGGGTGTCTCGACTTTGGGAATGCATATAGTTAGCACAGTATCTTGGTTCCAGCTGATCAGAAGGCCTCACTCTTTTTTTTTAAATTTTTTTAAAATTTATTTTACAACACCATTCAGTTCAACATAATAGCCACAGATTCCCCTGTTCTCCCCCTCTCACCCCCCTC